CATCCCCCACCCCCTTTCTCTTATCCTCTTCCTGTATTATTTCCTGTATTATTATTATTATTATTGAGTAAGAGATTATTCCCGTATTATTATTATTGAGTAAGAGATTTCTATGTAGAACTCTGTGTGTGTGTGTGTGTGTGTGTGTGTGTGCGCTTTTCCATCTTTGAAGAAATTCTGATGAGGGAGGTTCAAGCATTGCCTGCCACTGCACCATTTCCCCTCCACTATAAAAAACTCTTCCTCATGAGCCTCTTTTATGTGAGAACAATTTTCCCATTCTGCCTCTCTCTCCCCACTTCTTCCATTGCATTTCTCTTTCTCACCTCTTCATTTTTAGGGAAGTCATCCCAACATAGCTCACTCACACCCATGCCCTCTGTCTATGCAGACTCCTCCTAACTGACCTAAAAAGGATAAAGCTCTATACATCTTCTCATATAGGAATGTAACAGTTTAACTTTATTGAGACACGTGTGATTACTCTTGCATAGTTACCTTTTTATGCTTCTCTTGAGTCTTATGTTTGAATGTCAAATTTTCTATTCAGCTCTGGTCTTTCATCAAGAGTGCTTGAAAGTCCTCTATTTGATAAAGTGTCCATTTTTTCCCCCTTGTAGATTATACTTAGTTTTGCTAGGTAGGTGATTCTTGGTTTAATCCTAGCTCCTTTGCCTTCTGGAATATCATATTCCAACCCTTCTGCTCCTTTAATGTGGAAGATGCTAAATCTTGTGTGATTCTGACTGTGGCTCCAGAATATTTCAGTTGTTTCTTTCTGGCTGCTTGAAATATTTTCTCTTTGACCGTGTTGCTCTGGAATTTGGCTGTGATATTCCTGGGAATTTTCATCTTGGAATCTCTTTCAGGAGGTAATGGGTAGATTCTTTCAATTTCTATTTTACCCTTTGGTTCTAAATATTAAGGCAGTTTTCCTGTATAATTTCTTGAAATATGTCTAGGCTTTGGGGTGTTGTTTTTTTTTTTTCATCAAGGCTTTCAGGTAGTTCAATAATTCTTAAATTATCTCTCCTTGATCTGTTTTCTAGGTCAGTTGTTTTTTCAATGAGCTATTTCATATTTTCTTCAATTTTTTCATTCCTTTCAGTTTGTTTTATTGCTTCTTGATGTTTCATGGAGTCATTAGCTTCCACTTACTCAATTCTGATTTTTAAGGAATTATTTTCTTCAGTGAGCTTTTGCACCTCCTTTTCCATTTGGCCAATCCAGCTTTTTAAGGAGTTTTTTTCTTCAGTTAATTTATGTGTCTCTCCCATTAGACCTGTTCTAGTTTTTAAGGTATTACTTTCTTCTTTTTTCAGCCTCTTTTACCAAGCTTTGAATTCTTGTTTCATAATTTCCTTGCATCGTTCTCATTTCTTTTCCCAATTTTTCCTCTACCACTCTTAGTTCTTTCTTTAACTCTCTAGGAATTCTTGTTGAGTTTGTGTCCAATTAGCAGTTTTCTTTGAGGCTTTTGTGTAATGGTGTTCATGTTGTTGTCTTCTTCTAAGTCTGTGTCTTGGTCTTCCCTGCCACTATAGTAGCTTTTTATGGTCAAATTCTTTTTTGTGGTTTGCTCATTTTCCCAGCCTATTTCTTGACTTTGAACTTTATGTTAAAGTTGGGCCGTGCTCACCTTGGGGTTGGGAGTCACTGTCCTAAGTTTCAGGCTTTTTTGGTGCTCCCATTTTCAGAGTTAGTCCTAGGGGTCTGCAAATTTTGGGGGTTTCCAAGGTGGTGTGATCCTGGGAGAGATGTGGTCACTGCTCTCCCAGTCTGTACTCTGGTCTTTGCCCAGGAAGGCCCCTCGCTCCTCTGCAGCCACAAGCCCTAGCCCTTGAACCTTGAGCAGGGTCTCTACTTGCTTATAAATCTCTAGGCTTTCCTCTCTGCCGTGGAACTGTGACCCAGAGCTGCTGTGGGCAGTAGAGTTACCAGTCAGTGCCCAGTGCCAGCAGAGGGTCCCCTGGAACCTCTTTCTCATCAGTTGTCCCAGAGGCCGCCGCCGCTGTGATAGCTGCCTCCAAGGCCTGCTGCACTCCGGGCCAGCCTCTACCTCAGTGTCACAGACCTCTCCCACCAACCTCCTAATTTGTCTTAGGCTGTAAAAATGTCTCACCCTCACCTTTTGTTGACTCTGTTGTTCCGAAGTTTGATTTGAGGCATTATTTTAAAGTTGTTTAAAGGGGAATATTGGAAGAGTTCAGCTGGGTTTCCACCTGTAGTCCGCCATCTTGGCCCCCCTGCTAGCATGGAACCTTAGCTCAGAAGGGGAAAGGGGGAAAATCCAGTTCCTGCCTTGAACTGGGTCATTGGGGTCAGTGAAATCAGGGTCAGGAAAGGGATCTTGATAGAGTCCAGTTCTCAGTGAGGTAGAGAGCCAGATTAGATGGCCACAGAGGTCTTCTCTGGCTCTCTTGCTGTAGCCCTGTGATCCCGTGACATTGGGGAAGTCATTTACCTCAGTTTCCTTACCTGTAAAATTAAGGGGTTGCACCAGATGAATCATGTTCTGAGGTCCCTGATGGAGCCAGTTAAGTTCTTGCGGGGTAGGGGTGGTGGTTGTGGGGGCAGCAGCCAATGTGGTTAGAATGCCAGAAGTTTGGTAGCCAGTCACTATTCTTTTTACTTTATGTGTGACTTTTGGTGTATACATAGCAGGATCATAGGCTGAGAGCCAGTAGGGACCTTGGAGTTCCCTGAGGCGGACCACTCCCCCATTTTACAGAAGAGGAAATGGAGTCTTACTTGCCCATGACATGTGCTTAGTGTTCTGCGGTGTGACTTGAACTTGAGTCTTCCTGACTGCAGGTCCAGCACTCTATCGACTGGGCCATGTAGGGTATTGGAATAGCCTTGGCCTCCCTTGGGTTGTATCTTCTGCCAGGACAGGCTTCACTCCAGCTACTAGGGGACGCCTACTCCTGGGCCTCCTCCCCGGTGACTTTGCAGAGTGTGATTCTAATAGAGGAGAAAAAAACAAGTCAGCAAGAGTTTGTTAAGTCCCGCCTCCTACAGGCAGCCTTCCCTAACCCCTCTTGATTCCCGCACCTTCCTTCTGTTAATTACTTACTTCCTGTTTATATTGTCTCCATCCTGCTTTGCACGGCCCTCCCTCCCTTCAATCCAGTTCACTGTCATGTCATGGCATCGCCTCCCTCTTCGAGAATGAAGGACAAACAACAATCCTGCTTCGTAAAACACATATGTTTGCTTGTGCGATTGTAAGCTCCTTGAGGGTAGGGGCTGTCTCTTTTTGTATCCACTGGGTTTAGCCCCATGCCTAGGCACTTTATATATACCTATTCCTTTCCCTTCCCCTTCCTCTGTAAGGCACAGTCTTTCAAAGAGTCGCTTAGAGAACTGAGAAATTGCCTACCTAGGGGCACAAAGCACGGGTGTCTCAGAGGCAGGGTTTGAGCCTGGGTCTTCCTGGCTCCAAGACCGACTTTAACTAATGCACCACATTACCCTGATGAGTGTTGTTGATATTGGTGAGGATGAGGATGGGCAGAGGGCCCCACCCCGAGTCAGGATGACCTGGGTTCAGATCTCTGCTAGATATGTGACCCTTCACCTCTCACTACCCTAGGCAGCTTATCTAAGCCTGACTGTGGCATAGCTGCCAGTCTTCATGAGAAGAAGGAGTTTCTTCACTGCAAACTCTCAGCACTGATGAAATTAGGAGTCTGAGTCAAACTAGGATGATACTACCAGTAACAGAGGCCTCTGGCCTAGGGCGTCAGGCTAATGTGGGCTTAGCTGTCACTTGCTGGGCTTGTGACCTTAGCAAGGCCCTGTCCCTGTCATTCATTGCCCCCAGACTTTGGAGCTCCCAATACCAATTAAATCACTGCTCCACAGTGCATTAGTGTTACCACAGTCCAGGCACGTTACTTCATTTGAACCTTACAGCAGTCCATGAAGATAGCACCTCCTCCATTTTACAGGGGAGGAAACAGGGTCAGGGAAGAAAAAGGAATTTCCCAAGGATGGCATATAGGAGACCAAAGGTCACAGCTGGGATTTCAGTCCACGATCCCTGATCTGAGTCCAACGTTCTTTTTCCTACCCGTTTCTAGTCCTCAAGGAACTTAGGAGTCTGGTAACCCCCACCACACACTCAGAGAATGCATGAGCCAGCCTACAATCAGGGGCTCAACTCTGGTGTAGGCAAGAAATACCATAGATGTTAGGAAGGGGCAGGGAGGAGGCATCCCTCTTGGCTTGGACAGATTTCTTGGAGGGTGCAGGACTTTAGCTGATCTTTGAAGGGTGAGTAGAAATTAGATTTGGTAAAGGAGATGTGGGGAAAGTCCTGGATTTGGGATTAAGAGACTGGAATTTCAACTTTCCTATGACCTTGGGTCATACCACTCTAAACATCTTACTGTGACCTCAGTTTCTCTATTTAAATGGGTAGCTTGGACAAAATGAGCCTGTAGTTCACGAGGGAATGTGTTGGATTTGGGAGTCAAAGGACCTGAGTTTTAATCCTGGCTCTGCTTCTTAAGGCCTGGGTGACCTTGGGCAAGTCACTTCTGGGCCTCAGTTTCCTGATCTATAAAATGAGAGCATTGGACCAGTTGACCTCTCAAGTCCCTTCGAGCTGTGAATCTATGACCCCATCATCCCTTCCAGAATGAAACCTTTAATGATCCCTGATCTCACACACCCCTGCTACTGGTGCCTTCCTCCCCTAAAATCATCCTGTGTTTGTATATTTATTTTTTATATAAATACAAGGTATGCAACTTGTATATATTGTCATGATGGATGAAATCTTCAGTAACAATTAATACTTGTTTTTGAATGATTGAGTACAGTAGACAGCAGTGTGATAAAACTGGGATGTTCACTAAAAAGAGGTAGAATGAATGTTAAGACAGACAGGGTCGGGGAGGGGGGTGTGATGACCGTACACATTCAAGAGGTAGGCATCCCTTTCCTTAGGGCTGTGACCGTCCCTCCCTAAGGCTTTGTCCTTTTTGTCCCAGGAGAAGGAAAGAAATGCTCGGCGGAAGAAGAAAAAAACAGAAGCCGTGCCAAGCGAGGAGACCACATTCCCTCCCGTGGTAGAGGACGAGGAGATGGAGGCGTCTGGGATGAGTGGCAATGAGGAAGAGATGGCGGAGGAGGCAGATGGTAAGAGAAGGCGTTGGCTGACAGAGGGCAGACGGTCGCGATTGAGGAAACTGATCCGGTCTGGGGTAGGCAGAGCAAGATGGCGCCTGTTGGAATGGAGGCTGTAGTCTATTTGGAAGGTCCTGGTGGCTGGGGTGGGGGAGGCAGTCTGGAGAGACCTGTGATGATGTGTGAGCCAATCAGCGTGAGCCCGTCCTAGGGAGAGTGAGCCTCCTTCAGCAGAGCTTTCTTGCTTTCTTTTGCATTTCTGCCTAGGACTTTATTGGTCCCTCTCTGAGTGCATGTATGTTTGTGATGAAATGGGGGAGGGGGAGAGACAGGGAGAGAGAGTGTTTGAGGATAAACCATATATTATGGTGTGGCTCACACACACACACACACACACACACACACACACACACACACGCTCTCTCTCTCTCACTCTTCTGCATCTGTGCTCAGCCTTCTCAGATTCCTTGCCCCAGGATATGTTGTGTGCGTGCTGGGAGTTCTTCCCCTAGAAGAGAGTTACCCTGGGCCCCCTTTTCCCCTCTCCTTCCTTCCCGCCCCCAACAAGGTAAAAATTGAGTCACCCTCTGAGAAAGAAGAGACTGGGTAGGTTCTGCTGCTACACATCTCTTCCTAAACCCTCGTCTGTCCCCGCCCTCCTTTGGCTTCCCTTTCTTCCCCCCTTCCTGCCTTGTCCTCACCTGTCCGTCCGTTTCTTACTGAGTCTTAGACCAAGTCTGTTTCCAAGGCCTTACATCACCGGTTTGTTTCTTTGATCCTTAAAAGCGGCCCCCATCCCATCAAGAGTGGAGATGTGGTCAGAGCCCTGTGTGAGGATGGATGCGCTTAGGGAAAGGGGGGCCCCGAGGTTGAGCCTAGACAGTGGCCTGACACCCCAGGGTGTTTCATCCTCCAGTCTGGGCTGGCCTCTGAGGTCCCTTCTGGCTCTCCAGCTCAGATCCTAGGGAAAGCCCGAGAAGTTTTCAGCAAGCATTTATTAGGCGCCTACTGTGTGCCTATGCTAAGCACTGTGGATATAAAAAAAGGTAAGAAACAGTCCCTGCCCTCGAGGAGCTCACAGTCTAGGGGAGAGATCACATAGAAACAGCTCTATACAAACAATTCCAGCCAGGGTAATCAAGACAGGAGAGGCCCGAGCATTAAGGGCCATTGGGGAAGTCGTCTCGTGGCAGGGAGGGTTTTAGCGGGGACATGAAGGAAGCCAGGGATGGAAGGAGGAGAAAGAGCATCACAGGCCTAGGGGACGTCTACTGCAGAGGCCCAAGGTCAGGAGATGGAGTGGGACGTGCGAGGACCAGCCAGGGGGCCGGCGTCATAGAGAGTCTGGAAAGGCAGCGGGGGGCCAGTTATAAACGGCTGTGAATGCCACAGGGTTCCACATAGGATTCCGGTGGTGCCATGGAGCCGCTGGGCTTTGTCGAACGGGGCAGGGGCCGTGACATGGCGAGAAGGGAGCTGTGGGAAGACCGGAGCCCGCTGAGCAGCCTCAGCTGTGCTGGTCGTGAGCTAAGATTCTGTGGCCCCTTGGGCTTGGACTTTGGATGCCGAAACTGTGTGTGAGTGTGTGCGTGAGAGAGTCTGTGAGTGTGTGAGTGAGTGTGAGTGTCTGTGAGAGAGTGTGAGTGTGCGAGTGTGTGCATGAGTGTGTATGTGAGAGTGTGTGTGTGAATGTGTGTGTGAGAGAGTGTGGATGTGTGTGAGTGTGTTAAGTGTGTGAGTGTGTCACTATCGCTCTGGGGCTCAGTTTCCTCATCTGTAGCATGATGGAGTTGGGGTAGAGCACCTCTGAGGGCAATACTAGGTCTGTTTTCGTGTGAATTCTGAGCTCCCTTTCAGCACTGAAAAGCTGATAAATCAGTCACCAAGCATTTATTAAGCACTTACTGTGTGCCCCATACCCATGCTGAGTGCTTGGAATACAAGAACAAAAAAACCACAGGAGAAGGCCTGCCCTCAGGAAGCTTGGATTCTGTTGGGAAAGACTAAAATGCCCACAAGATCAAGTCATTGGGGAGGGGGAGTCGGAGAGGGCCTCCCCTGGAAGGCGGTGGGTGAGCTAAGCTCTTAATGGTCCTGCTCTAGGCTGTGGGAGCCATTTAGAGAGAGGTTAAAGTCTAAGATAAAGTCCTGCCCCCAAAGAGCTTGTCCTCTGGCAGCAGAGTGAGGACAGAAAGAAATCAGTGCAGGAGAGCTTGCTCAGGGGTGACGCTAGAGGTGGTGGTCCACGTCTCAGAGAGATGGGGTCACTCATTCTTTTTGTTTTTGGAGGCAGTTGAGGTGAAGTGACTTGCCCAAGGTCACACAGCTGGTAAGTGTCTGAGGCCAGATTTGAACTCAGGTCTTCCTGACTTCAGGGCTGGTGCTCACTGTGTCACCTCGCTGCCCTGAAGTGACTCATCCTTGTTCACACCACTTTTATGAGCAGAACCCAGGCTTGCTGGCTTCCAGTCTGGGCTTCTTTCTACTCTACCATGAGATCGAGCTGCCAAGTGTGCCAGCTTGAGGAAGGCCTCGAATGCCAAGATAGTGGGGCTGGATATCATGGGTCTGTGTCAGCGGACGTGGCTCCCCCCCTTGTCCCTCTCAGAGGGAGGGCCCCTCCTCCTCGGGGACACCTGTGTGATCTCAGGGGCACCTGATGGCATGTCTATTGTCCCGAGAAGGCCTGCAGACTGGAAGTTTTGGGTTCAGTGAGGACAGGACTTAGGAGATTGTTTGTTTTCCCTGCACCCAGCCTTGTGAACCAGTGTGGTTTGGAAATTGTGTGGCATTGACAGGCTGTCAGGAGAACTACCAGAAGCAAGCTTTGCTGGGACAGTGGAAAATTTGAGGTGTGTCAGGACAGTGTTGTGGTGTCTACACCTGCCTCCCCACAGTCTCCCTTTACGGTGCCAGTTATCAAGAGGCCCATGTGCTGTCAGGGCACTATGCTAGACCGTGGGAAGACAGAGGCAGAGGCAGAGAGCGGAGGGTCTGCTGATAGACGTGATGACACGGCGTCGCTGAAAGTGGTTTCAGGCGGGAGCACGCCAGCAGGGGCAGCCGGCCGTTTGGGACGGGAACGATGCAAACCCAACTAGAAAGGCAGGTCAGAGCCGGCCTGGCCAGCCAGGCTGACGTGCTCCTGTTTCATCCCAGAGGCATCTGGGAGCTGGTGACCCCAGAAGCACATAGTGAGCACCCATTCTCTGCCAGTGCCATGACTGTGGGGGAATCAGGCAGGGCCCCGCTTGGAAGGTGGTGCTCGGGGCTGGGCTTGAGGGAAGCCAGGCGTCCCAGACGTGGGGGCAGCCTCTGTCAAAGCAGCGAGGTGAGAGGGACAGGAAGAAAGTTTGGAGGAGATGGGTTCAAACCCTACCGCAGATCCTTCTTAATTGTGTGGCCTTGGGCAAGCCTTGGTGTGCCTCAGTTTCCTTGTCTGTAAATAGCAATCATAATTGTACCTTCTCCCCAGCTGAGAATCAGATGGAGTGATGTATAAAACACTTTGCAGACGTAAAGCTGTGTACAAACCTCAGTCATGATTATTATTGTTAGCTCATTCTTCTCATCTTTTTTCTTTTTAAAATGCATTTTATGGATGTCTTTTATTTTTACATCATCTGCGTTTCCAGATGTGTCTTCCTTTCCCTTCCCCCACCAGAGCCATCCCTTTATAACAGAATAAAAAGAAGGGGAAACAGTTGAGCAGAAGTGATTAAGAGGCCGGAAACGCCAAACTGACCAAGCAACGGGGGTCATTAAGCACCTACTGCGTGCACTGGGGACTCAAGGGCCAATGATGAAGCAAATGGACAGTGTCGTGGGGGAGATAGCAGGCTCATCCATAGGTGGAGACCATATTCCATTCCAGGTGAATAGCGTAGCTGCAAATCCAGACAGAGTAATTCAACCCAGGGCAACTTGGAGGGGCTGCTGGTGTTTGGGGGATCAGGACAAGCTTCATGCAAAAAGAGGATGATGGCCGTGTTTGGAAGGGAGGGAGGGAGAGGGTATATTCTAGGCATGGGGATGGCTGTTGTGTGCACTGTTCCATCCCCATCACCCCCACCTCTCCAGGCAGGCCCAGTCTTCTCCTTTTCCCGCGGGTTCAGACAGAAGTGGTCCTAAGACATCCCTATCTTGCTGTAGTGATGGCTTGGTACTCTGGGGTCTACTCTTGCACAGACAGACAAACTGCCTTTTGTAGCTAAATAAAGGTGATTATAATTGTAATGACAGCTGATTTGTTAAGGTTTGCAAAGCATTTTAATCCTCAGAATCCCTCTTCTATCCCACACTCTAATAGTACTTTCCAGATTAGGAAACTGAAGCACGGAAAAAGTTGAGTGACTTGCCTAGGATCACATAGCTAGCTAAGGCAAGATTTGAACTCGAGTCTTCCTGTTTCCTAGTCCAGTGCTTTATCCATTGCGCCACCTAAGGGCTCTAAGTGTTAGGATATAAGCTTCTTTCCTTTGCCGGCTTTCACTGACAGCATCCTCAGCACCATGTCTGACAGCTCTGATTACTTAATTATTGGGCAAGGAGAGAGAGAGACTGAGATATTGGAGAGAGAGACAGACAGACAGAGAAGGAGAGGGAGAGAGACAGAGAGAAGGAGAGAGAGAGAAGGCAAGGGAGAGGAAGGGCAGGGAGGGAGACTGTGAAGGATGCAGGTCTGGAATGAGCAGGAATAGCTGTCATCCAAAATTACTTTAGTGTGGCGGGTCTGAACTCCCGTTTTTGGTTTGGAGAAGGTGACCTTAGATGCGGCCTGCTAAGAAGGCAGCTGGGTGGTGTAGGAGAGTCAGGAAGACCTGAGTTGGAATCCCACCCTCAGACCCTTTCAGAGCAAGTCACTTACCTGCTGCTGCCTGCCTCAGTTTCCCCACCTGTAAAAAGTGGGATAATAGGACCACCTCCCAAGGGTGTTGTGAGCATCAAATGAGATATTTGTAAAGCACTTTGCAAGCATTAAGACTCTATTTAAACGTGAGTTCTTACTATTAGTTTTTATTATTAAAAGATTCAGGAAAAATGTTGGTCTTTGAAATTTGGCTCAGGGGCCAAGCCCCGGGCAGCATCTGGCCCTCCTCATCCTTCCCTCTCCTGGCCAGGAGGACTGGGCCTTTCCACCAGAGAAGCCTTGGCATTCCCAAAAATCTCTTTACCCCAGAAGAACCCTGCTTTTCTCCGGCATTCCTGATGAAAGGCCGCTCTTTCCCAACCTAATTAACCTGACCCACCGGCTTCTTGTTCTCTGAGCTGAGCTTGCTCTTACTTCAGACATCAGCAGAGAGACGAGTGGAAAGGGCTGATCGGGGCAGGGGGTGGGGCTGGGGAAGCGAGGCGGAGGAGGGGCAGGGTTGGTGATGGACTGGGAAGGAAGAAGGTGTCTGGGATGGAGAGGCAGGAGAGGAAGAGAGAGTGAGGAAGAACGTGGGATGGAAGGGAGGGGGGAAGAACGTGGGATGGAAGGGGGAGAGAGAAGAGTATGGGGTAGAAGAGGGAGAAAGACAAGAGTGTGGGATGGAAGGAAGGGGGAAAGAACATGGGATGGACAGAAGAGAGAAAAGGCAGTGAGGAATAGCCCAGAGAGAGGAGGAGGAACGTCCCTGTCTTCTGGAGCATGGGATTCCATGTGCACCAGGGTTCCTGCGGGTGACTCCTCCTGGGTTCTTGGGTGAGTGCTCCAGAAAGCCTGGCAGGCCTGTTGCTTGTGTGGTGCGCAGAGAAGGAAGGCCGTGCCAGTTGGCCCGGATGACTCCTCTCGGAGTGCCTTTCGTGCCCCCCTTTTATTTCATTTCGCACTGTGGGGGATCAGGCCTTCTCCCTTTTCTGTCCTCCTCTGCCCATCTTCTGGCTTTCCACACTTCTGGTAATAAGATGGCCAGGGTTGAATGCGGTGTCCCCTCTGGCATGGGGGTCACGGAAGAGCGGGTCTCTGTCCGCTGAGCCTCGAGTGCCAGAACCAGACTGGGGCAGATGACAGCGGGGCCTGCTCAGTGTCCCGCTCTCATACCTCAGGCCTTCATCATAGCTGCTCCCTGGGGGGTTGGGGGGGCGGGAAATACCTTTCTCTGAAGTCATCTTGGAGCCCCTGTCAGAAGCCTTCCCCCCCACTTACTAAGGCTCTCAGCCCGTCTTGTTGACACCCTCTCGAGTCCTTCCTTCTCTGGCCTGTGTCCGTGCTCACACCCACCCCCAGCCCACTTTCTCATCTGCTCTGTTATCACAGGGCAGTCTGCAGGATGGAGGCCTGCAGCCAGGGCTTACCAGCCTCCAGCCAGATCGTCTTCACTGCATACTCACCCCCCTTATCTCAGATGCGTAGATTGAGCCCCTTCCTGAGGTGATAGGTTTCACTCGTTGTCTGCCAGGCTGCCCTGTGGGTGTTTGACCAGGCAACAGTCAGAGCACGTGTCCCATGGGACCCTCTCCCCAGAGCGATGTCATTAAAATAAATACCTAGGGCAGCCTTGAAGGGAGAAAGGAAAAGGAGAGGGTGTGTGTATGTGTGTGTGAGTGTGTGTGTGTGCGCACGTGCGTGCATGGGTGTGTATGTGGTATATGTGTGTGTGTCTGCATGGGTGTGTATGTGTATATGTGGGGGGGGGTGTGTGTGTGTGTGTGTGTGTGTGTGTGTGTGTGTGTGTACGCGTAGGGTCCCGAGTGCCACCTTTCCCTTGCTGATGGTGAATGATTGTGCACTGCCTGCCTGGGTGAGCCCTAGGTGTCTCTTTTCTCCCCCTCCCCCTTTAGCCAGGTAGGGAATTCTTTTTTGCCTCTGCCCATCCCGGCTGCCTCTGTGAGGTCTGCCCAGCATTGTGGTGGCTCAGCCATGGCAGTGCAGCAGAAGGAAAACGCTTCTGGCCTGGGGAATCAGGAAACAACCCTGGCTCTCACACTAGCCGGGTGACCTTGGGCCAAGATGTTGAACTTTTCTGAGACTCAGTTTCCTCGTGTGTAAAATGGGGATAATAATAGCGCCTGCCTCCCAAGGAGGTACACACTTTGTCAGCTTTTGTGTGCTCTATACACATCATTGCTGTCGTCTCCGCTGCATCGTGGGTGCTGCACGTTGTTCTGGGTGTGAGTGAGGCCAAGGCCAGGCTCCAGGTTCCCTCCTGGCCCTGCCTCCATTTCTGGCTTCCTCAGTCTTGTGGATGCCCAGTGGGAAGTAGAGAAAAGGGTTCTCATTGATCCCCCCCTGTTTCTCTTTTTTCCAGCTGCAGTTAACAACAGCTCTGACACAGAGAGCATCCCTTCCCCGAGGACAGATGCCAAAGAGAGTGGCCAGAACGGGCCAAAGCCGGCGCCGGCCCAGGCCGGTGAGACTGGGGTAGCAGCGGAGCCCCCCTCCAAGACGGAGGAGGCTGCCCCCGGCACCCCAGCCCCTGCCGACGCCTTGGCTCCCCCTGCGCTGCCCACCGACCCTCCAGCCCCTGCTACACCCGGCCCCGCAGCGGCCCCAGCTGCCCAGGCAGTGGCAGCCCCTGAAGAGACCAGCCAGGAGCCCGGCAAGGAGGAGAAGCCCCCAGAGGAGCTGGTGGTCGACGTTGTGAAGACAGAAGAGGAGGAGGAGGGGGGAGCGGCTGAAATGCCCGGGAACGAGGCAATCAAGAAAGAGATCAAGAAGGAAGCTGAGGAGGAGGGCTCCGACAAGGCCAAGGCGGCAGAGAAGAAAGAGGAGGCGGGCGGGGGCGGAGGGGCTGGCACCACCGTGGCGGCCGGGGCTGGGGCGGAGGGGCCGCTGAAAGTGGAGAAGAAGGAGGGGGGCAAGGCGGCCAAGGGCACAGGGACCAACCCGGACAGCGACTCCAGCGCCACCTGTAGCGCCGATGAAGTGGACGAACAGGAGGCCGTGGACAAAAACAGGTGAGCGTGGCCTTGGGCCATGTGGTCTGGGCGGGACCGGAGTCCTCCTCTGGGCCTGTTCTGGGTGCTCCTGCCTCCCCTCCCCCCCTGGTCACTCTGTCCCCCCACCCCCAGGTGCAGCCACCGCCACCAACCATCCCCACGCCTGCCATCTCTCTCAGCCTCAGCGTGCTCATCTGTAAAATGGCAGGGTGGACTGGACCAGAGGAGCTTTCACGCTCTTCCAGCTGTTATCCTTCAGCACAGACAGAATCCTCCTTTCTCACTCCCTGCCCCTAGTAGCTTAAAGGATGGGAGAGGTTCTGGACTTGGAGTCTGGAAGAACTGAGTTCAAATCTGGCCTTAGACACTCACTAGCTGGGTGACCCAGGCCAAGTCACTTGACCTTTCTCAGCCTCAGTTTCCTCATCTGCAGAATTGGGATCATAACTGCCTGGGTTGTTTGAGGATCAAATGAGATAGCATTTGTAAAAGTTCTCAGCACAGCGCCTGGAACACAGTAGGAGCTTAATAGATGCTTATTCCCTTCCTTCATCCTTTCCATCAGTTTCCTCATCTGTAAAGTGGCTGCTAAGGTCCTATGATCCCAGGCACTTAGATTTTTCTCCCTCCTTGGCCGCACGTCAGTCAGTCCATAGTTACTTTGGTTCGGTGGAAAGAGCACAAAACTTTGGAGTCCCAGGAGGCCGGGGTCCTAGCCCTGTGGTCTTGGGTAAATCACATTCTCTCTCTGGTTCCTAATTCCCTCGCCTGCGTAAACCTCAATGGGTAGGACTACATCTACAAGCCTGCTGGTAAATGTTCAATAACCAGCTCTCCAGAAATTGAAAAAAAAAAAGGCAAAACTGTCTGCCCGATGTATTTCTCAGTTTAATCCACGGGACTAATATTTTGTCCGTCACTTTCTTAAGTCCAGACAGTCAACAGGACGATGAATCAGGCCCTTCATGGTAGCATTTCCCAGTTTTCGAGGTTGCGGTGTTCACTCACAGTTTTTCAGCTGGCGGTGGTGAGCGGGTTTGAGCCGGCTCCGGCACATCTCTGAGCTGAGGCGGTAGAGCCTCTGGCCGCTGACTCTCCCCCAGCCCTGGCTCCGTGTCCCTGCCTCGTCCTTATCCAGCCTCGCTCAGAGAGGATGTCTGGGGGATGGGGAGGGGCCCCCTGGTCTTCTCTGCTTCATTGAGGCTTGAGCAGAACACTGGCCGTCTGAACGGAATCGGAATGGTTTGTTTTCCAGGTTGTTTTTTCTCCCTAAAAGTATTCTACTTAGGAAAAGTGGAATTCCCCAAATACATAAGCCTGCCCGCATAAAATAGAGACTTGGGGAAAGAATTCTTCATTGGGTTTCCCTTAAGTCTCAAGGTCCCCTTTTTAAAATAACCACAGAGGCCATTCCAGGTGACCTGGAACTTGAAGGTCATAGAATGTCCCCCTGAAAGGGAGCTTAGAGGTCCCTTAGCCCATCCCCTTTACAGGTGAGGAGCCAGGTGACTTGCCCAGGGTCACCTTCATCATAAGCAGCAGCCCCAGGATTTGAATCCCCAGCTGTCTGCCTCCAAATGGAGTTCTCTTTCTGGCCTTGGAGTCATCGTATCGTAGATTTATAGTCAGAAAGGACTTTTGAGGATACCGAGTCCAACCTCTGTTTTTTTCAGATGAGGAGATTGAGGTCAATAGAGGTTTAAGTGACTGGCCCAGAGCCACACAGCTAGTAGGTTTCTGAGGCAGAATTTGAATTCTAGTCCTCAGTCAATAAGCATTTATTAAGAACCTACTGGGGGGCAGCTAGGTGGTACAGTGGATAGAGCACTGGCCCTGAAGTCAGGAGGAGCTGAGTTCAAATCCGGCCTCAGACCAAACACTTGACACTTACTAGCTGTGTGACCCTGGGCAAGTCACTTAATCCCAATTGCCTAAAAAAAAGAAAAAAATCATTAAGCACCTACTGTGTGTGCCACGCCCTGTGCTAAGGGCTTTACAGACACCTCATTGAAGATGTAGGCTGCATCTTAGGGCTCTCAAAGGCCTTCGTTTCTTTACCTTTAAAATTAGGGATTTAAACTGGGTCCCTTCCAGTTCTAAACAATCAATCAATACATGTTTATTAAGTGCCTACTAGGTGCCAGGCACTGTGCTAAGCAGTAGAGATACAAAAAAAGGTGAAAGACAGTTCCTGCCCTCAAGGGGCTTACATTCTAAAGCGTGAGGCAACATGTGAACAAATATATACAAAGCAATCTGTATTCAGGATAAATAGGAAACAATTAAGAGAGAGAGTTAATTAGCTCCCTTAATGAATAATTAACACAGGAGTTCAGAGGGGTTGGGAAAGGCTTCCTGCAGAAGGTGGGGGCTTAGTTGGGACTTGAAGGAAGCCAGGAAGGTCACTAGGTAGAGTTGAGGAGGCAGAGTGTTCCAGGCACGAGGGGTAGCCAGAGAAAATGTTTGGAACTGAACCATGGAGCGTCTGCTTCCTGGAGTCCAGTTGCTGGATCAGAGAGTGTGTGCTGGGGAAGGTGACTGGAGGAGTCGGAAGGGCCGGGGTAGGAATGCTAAAGGGAGCTTTCGCGTTTGGTCCCAGAGGTGATAGGAGGCCACTGGCGTTTAGTGAGTGAGCAGAAGGTGATGTGATCGGACGTGCCCGTGCTTTTAGGAAAATCATGGTAGCGGTCCAGGCGTGAGGCAGTGAGGGTCTGGGGGCTGTGTCAGGGGAGAGAGAAGGGGGCCTACTGGGGAGGTGGTGCAGAGGTAAAATCTATAGGCCCTGGCAGCAGCCTGACTGAGGGCCTGGGAGGACGGCGGTGTCTTCGGCGGTCATAGGGCAGGGAGTGGGGGGAGTCTGGGTCTCACATTCCATCTGCTCCAAGTCGCAGGTGCTGCAGGAAGCCCTGGGTCCAGATTCCACCTCTGCCGTGTACTGGCGGTGGGACTCTGGGCAAGTCACTTCATCTGTGTCAGCCTCAGTTTCCTCATCTGTAAAATGGGGGTGGTTCATAACACCTGCCTTCTAGAGTTGTTGGAGGATCAAACGAGTTATTTGTAAAGCACTTGGTGAACCTTTTAGAGTGCTGTGTAGATGTTCTCAGCTGTTACCATTGTTATTGCCATTTTTAACATCATACGAGGTGCAGAGAGAGGAGAGGTCTTGCCTGTTATCCATAGCTTGTGGGTGTCAGAACTGGGGCCCACACCCGAGTTCCTAGGTCTTTCACCATCCTGTACACCAAAAACAAACTTGGTTTTACAACAGCTCAGTTTGTAGCTGTCTTTTCCAGTACTAGACACAGCATAAAGCAAGGTCAGTCTGTGTCACCAGCTCCCCGTTCTGGCTCCTGCTGCGGGGCCCCGGGGCCCCAGGAGGAAGATGGTGGTTGCTGGGGCTCCAGGCCACAAGGGAGGCCAGGTCGGGCCCCTTGTGCCTGCCCTGCCCCTTCCAGGTCTTGGCATTCACGAGAAGGGAAGGTCAGGCTGCCCTGTTCTCCTCCTCCTCCTCCCAGGGCTCATTCGCCTTCCGGGCCCCTTGATCCAGATTGAAGCAGACAGGCCAGGCAGGGCCAGCCAGCAAAACAGGGCTCAGAGCACCACTCAATTAAAGCGGGAGAGCATTCTGTGGTCCCCGAGGCAGAGGAGCCTGCCTCTCTCCATCATTCCTGTGTAATGGGGTCAGAGGGAGGCCCTCTCCATCCCCACCCCACCCTCTCTCACGCTGCTTGGAGAAGCGTCATGGAAACACATTTTTCTGTCTCCAGCAGAGAGCTGAGATCATGAGGCAGCAGCGATAAGCTAATCCCCTTGCCTGTCGCAGGGCACAGTGCCCGTGGGTGCGGGCACTCGGATCTGGCCTGCCAGGTCCTGCCTGGGCTAGCCTGGCAGCAAGCCTCGGAGGGCTCGTTTTTTAACCCTGCAGGAGAGCGGGATGCGACCTCAGACGTCCCTCTAGTCCAGCTGGCTGGCCAGTCCCAGGGAGCAAAGAGAAAGGATTCATGCCCACAGTCCCCTCAGGGTGGGAGGCTGTGGAGCGTCGTGAAACAGACACTGGATTCGAATCCAGGCCCCTGAATCAGCGGACCATGGTTCAAAGCCAGGCTCAGCTAGTTAGTCTCTCTCCGACTTTGAACAAATCATTGTCCCTCTCTCGGCCTCAGTCTGCTCATCTGTAAAATGAGACTTACTGCCTGTGTGACCTTGACAAGTCAATTGACCTCACTTCTCCATTTGTTCGTTTGTAAAATGGGAAGGGAATTGGATTAGCTGAGCTCCTGGCCTCATCCATCTCCAGATTTGTCATCCCATCCGTCACTCCTGAGTAAGAATTCCCCTCTACAGTGTGCCCAAGCATTGCTTAAATCCCTCCAGTGATGGGAGGCTCGCTGTTTCCCAGGGTTGTCCATTCCCTTTTGAGATAACTGATTATTAGGAATTTTCTTCCTTACATCAAAGCTTCCACCCACTGCTCCTAGTTCTGTCTAAAAAGCAAGGCCTAGTCCACCCGACAGCCCTTCAGATATTTGAATTCAGTGGTCATGGCCCCAAGAGTATTGTTTTATTTATTGGGATATTTCTTCCATAAATGGTGTCTTGCCGGGCACCCTCCCTTCCTGTGGGACAGCCTCCTGTAGTCTCTGGTGACCTTGCCCAAGAGTATCCAGATTTCCCACCAGTCTGGATCTCCAGCCAGCATCTGTCCAGCTCACCCCAAATACTCCCAGATCCTGGCCACGTAGTACAGAAGAAGAAACTCTGGCCTGGGAGATGGGAGATTTGGGTTTCTGGCCTTGATTGCCACTTAGGAGGGTTTTTTGGACATTGGGCAAATCCATGCCTTCTACGGTCCTTCATTTGTCCTACGCTCTGTACAGAGTGTGGTGCAGCGGAATGAGGGGGTGGCTTTAGAATCGGGGGATCAGGGTTCAGATCCAGGCTTGGCTAGTTATTCTCTCTCTCTGACTTTGAACAAGTCATTGTCCCTCTCGGAGCCTCAGTATGCTCATCTGTGAAAT